AAGTATATGTTTATCAAATAAAGTCTCATATTACAACTAATCGGGGATCCCTTTAACAAAAACGACTGTCTTTTATGTATTTTAACACATATTCACATCAAACTCTCAGCATACATCCAATGAATTTTTCTTGATTCACATGTGAAATGCCACAGGGCCTGGTCCATTGTCACATTAAGATTTATCTGCACTGTTTGTGTAGTGGATGTGATAAACATTTGTAAGTCTAACAATATGTTTTTATTCTGCAGGGAAGTGTTTTCTCAAGGTCTGCCTGATGAATATGCCTTTGTGACCACATTTAAATTCAGAAAAACCTCAAGACGTGAAGATTGGTATCTTTGGCAGATTTATGACAAATATGGAATCCCACAGGTGAGTTAGCAATAAGTCTGAATATCCTGATTTAGACAAGTTACAACTCAAGAAAATGCTTAGGTCACACATTATTCATCACCTTGTTACACTACTGGTTAGTTAGAAATGAAGTGAAAGTATCTTCTTTCATTGATATTCTTCTACTTTGTTTTGTCAGGTGTCCGTTCGCTTGGACGGTGAAAACAAGGCAGTGGAGTACAACGCTGTTGGGCTGACAAAAGATGCTGTCAGAACTGTCTTTAAAAACCCCCAAGTTGACAGCTTGTTCGACCGCAACTGGCACAAGATTGCTCTTAGTGTGGAGGCCAAGCAAGTCTCTCTGTACTTGGACTGTAAACACATCCAGACACTGCCCATTGAAGCTCGAGAGGACATTGATATTCAGGGAAAGACGGTGATCGGAAAGAGACTTTATGACAGCGTGCCGATTGATGTTCGTCTCCACTCTTATTCTCAAAATCTTTGTTCATTTAAATTTTTATTCCTAAAGACTGATTTGTTGATCAGCTGTCTGTGTGTGTGTGTGTGTTCCTGTAGTTTGACCTCCAAAGGATGATGATTTACTGTGATTCAAAGCATGCAGAGCTGGAGACCTGCTGTGACCTTCCAACTGGACCTGTAAGTACCACTGACTAGAAACTGACAATGCATCTTTTTAATGAAGGTCAAACTGCATTTAAGAAGACAGTAATGTATTTCACAACTATCATAAGTATTTACATTGACAAAAAGACATTTTGTCTTGATGTCTTTTAAAAATACACCAAATCCCAAAGTGTTTTACAATCACATACAGTCAACATTAGGCTTGAGCCTGAGAACTGGTTGAGGTTTCATTTGAAGATGATGGTGTTGAGATTTGCAGAGTCGGTGAGGTGAAGTTTTTGGGTGTCATCATTGATGAAAAACTAACATGGAGAGCTTATATAAATCTTTTAGGAACAAAAATAGCTAGAAATATAGCAGTATGGTATAAAGTAAAGAAGTTGTTCAGTAGCTTCGTTTCCATTCACCATGAAAATGCTCAAATTAGAAGTTCGAAAATAAATTTGCTCAATGGAAACACGTCAATTTTGGAAAAAAAATATGTTTTTCGACTAAATGTTTTTGCTCTAGGATGAGGTGGTTTTTTTGGCCGTATTGAAATTGTTGTTTTTCGCAAAACTGCAATGGAAACACTTTTTTCACATCACAGGGG